TATCTTTTCTTTTCTTGATTAATTAAGAGATAATAATGGGAATGGATTTCTATCATAAATAAGGGCAGCAGGGAATCATGGTTGGATTAAACCATGTATTGGATAAATTCAACAAGTAGAAATCTAATCAGAAAGAGAATTTGGATTGGTTAAGGACTCTGAGATTGAATCCCTATAAATACACACAGATTAGAAACATAGAGGGCACATAGATGAATCAGAAAGCTAAAAAATAGAAAGCATAGTCTAGAAATATTCTATGAGTGGTTAGAAGCAATTTAGAAATTTTAAAAAATTTTAGAGAATTTTTGACCTTTTTTTTTTTCTGGAAAATTTTTGAAAAATTTTCAGAATCTGATGAAATTTTTCGACGAGATTTAAGTTTTTCGATGAGTATTCCGGCTAACTTTAAAGTTTTTGATGTGTTTTCTAGATTTTGAGAGAACTTCAATCGAAATTTGGGTTCTGTTTAGAGAGAAAATGGAGAAAAAGAAAGAGAAAAGAGAGAGGGGAAAGAAGTAATCTGTTGAAAGGTTGAGTTCGGAGCCTTTTATACCCTGCTAAAATGACGTCATTTTGGCGTTAAAAATCCCAGAGGATCCACGCATTTCTATTTGGTTTAACCAGACCTGATCGTAACCCGATTCATTGACTCGCGTTCCAGCCAACCACCCCAGCCTAGTCGAGCCGAGCCGAGACTCCGAGTCGCGCGTCTGAGCCGTGATTTTTATCTTGAGCAGAGCTGTATCCTAGCCCAAGCCGAGCCATTTTCAGATTTTTTTGGTATTTTCTTATTTATTTTATTTAAGTATTTTATTTATTTATTTTTATTGAATTAAAATAAATAAAAAAAGTAGAATAAAAATTTTGGGAATAAATATTAATTATCCAATGATGGAATTTATAAAAATTTCAAATAGTAAATTTTTATAAAATTTTTAGGTGAATTTCAAACCAAAAAAATTAAAAGCATAAAAATATAAAAATTTTTGGAATTAAATACAAATTACCCAAGGATAAGATTCTTAAAAATTTCAAATGATAAATTCCTAAGAAATCTCTATGTAAGAAATTTTCTCTAAATTTGGCCCAAATGATGGAATGATTTAGATGAAATTTCAATACAAGTAATTGTATTCTTTTCCAAATAAAAATTTAGATTGAAAATATTTGATAATTATTTAACGATGAGATTCTTAAAAATTTTAAATGGTAAATTTTTAAGAAATCTCTAGGTGAAAAATTTTCTTTAAATTTGGCCCAAATTGTAGAATAATTTAGATGAAAATTTTCAATAAAAGTAATTGTCATTTTATTTTCTTTTCAAAGAAAAAATAAAAAGAATTTCTAAATAGGCCTAAATGGTAAAAAATTTTAAAAATTCAAAAAAGAAAAAATATTTCTAATTTAGCCCAAATTATGGAATAATTAAATATATTTTTTGACAAAAATAAATAAATAATTAAACTTTTTTTCCAATGACGAAGCCTCTTCAAGAAATCAAATTGGATTCTTGAATACTCTTGAGGTGAGGAAATATTTTTTAAGAATTCTACCAGATTGATGGAAGAATCTTATAAATTATTTCTAATATTTCAACATAAAAATTGACACCATTAGACTCAATACCTTAGGATAAATTCGGAATAATATGGTACCATCATTCGGATGGGCATGTGGGGTTGCTATAACTTTTCCCATATGTAACCGACTTTCGAATCTTGTTCTGGTTAATAGACCCGAACCTATTTTTTTAGGGACCTTTAGTCAAGCTTAGGAGTTCTTTAAAAGGATAGATTCCTTATGTGACCAATCACACCTAGTTAAAAAAAGATTTGTGACGACTCCATTCATTTGATAAGTCTAACTATAGATTTATGGATCTATATGTTATGACAGATATTATGGTCCTTATCCTATATTAGCCAAAATTGGTTCAGTTGCTTATAAATTGCAATTAGCTCCTACTCCTAAGATTCACCCAGTGTTTTATGTTAGTTTGTTAAAAAAAAAAAGTTAGGAAACAAGGTAGTTCTCAGCCTAGCTTTACTAGAAACTAATGAGGATGGACAATCACTTGTATATCCTACTACTATGATTGATAAACGAATTGTTAAAAGGCACAATAAAGCTATCACCCAACTCCTGGTGGTATGATTAAATTTAGGGCCTGATAACGCAACGTGGGAAGACTATACAAAATTGAAGTCACAGTTTCCAAATTTTGATCCTTGGAGACAATGATGTGGTGAAGGGGAGGGTATTGTGATGAACTTGATGGAAAAGAGCAATAGTGGCATTAGCAAGGCTATGATAGAAGATGGTGATATTAGTTATTAATATATTAGGGTCTGGGTCAGTTATTAATCTAGTGGCTAGTAATACTCTGCAAATTTGTATTTTCTACGGTTTGCATGACAGTTTTATAATAACTTTATTTAAATCATTTATAGTTATAATTGATCTCTCATGAATAAAAAAGATAATTGCTTCTCTAAATCCCTTTTTATTCTTTTCTTAGTCTCCTCAATCCTTCTCTGTTCTTTCCTTGGTCTTTCCAATTCTCCTCTGTTCTCTTCTTAATCCAAAAACCTAACCAAGTCACAACTAAGTCATGATAGATGAGGACAAACGGTAAAGTAGATAGGGAAAGGGTTGAGATTAAAGGAATGTGAAAAAATGTGACCATTTGCAATATGGAATTTGAAGGAGGAAGATGACATGATGTTGATGGGATTCGAATAAAACCCAATTCAAAGCATATATTTGGCTTGATAGGTGTAGCTTTAAAGATTATGGCTTCACTTCTATTGTCAATTGGTCCTCCTCGCATGGACGAAAAGTTTGAAAAGGGCTGCTCGGGAAGGAAATGTTAGTGAATTGTAGAGATTAATTCAGGAAGATGGAAACGTTTTGAAGCGAATTGATAAGGTGGAGTTTAACAATACTCCATTGCACATAACTGCTGCCGAAGGGTGCATTGATTTTGCTATGGAGACAATGAGCTTAGAACCATCGTTTGCTAGGAAGCTAAACCAGCAAGGCTTGAGCCCAATTCACCTTGCAGTGGAAAAAGGACATAAAGAGCTGGTGCTACTTGTAATGGAAAATGCTAAAGATCTTTCCTGTGTCAAAGGAAAGAAGGGTGAGACTCGTTTGCAATATGTAATAACAAGAGAAGAAAATCCTCAAGTTCTCTTGCCCAGATTTCTAGAGGATTGTCCTGAATGCATCTGAGATCTGACAACTGAAAACCAGACTGCTTTGCACATAGCAGAAAGAAACAATAAAGAAGAAACTCTTAAAATCCTATGCAAGAAGCTTAGGAAGACTAACTATTTTCATGATGTGGCGAATCAGAAAGACAGGAATGGCGACACTGCTTTGCACATAGGTGCTGCATGCGATAATTGTCACAAGGTCAGTAAAAGATGAATTCTTTTCAGATTGTAACGTGAACCATTTGTAGCTTTCATATCTCAAATTCTCAATTAAACAGATGATCAAACTGCTATAAAAATGCAAGGCTGACAAGCATGAGACTAATTAGGCTGGCTCAAAAGCACTAGATGTTGCAACAAAGAAAGCATTAGTATTCTGCTTGGTTCCAGGAGCTTCAACCTTTCCATAAAAGTTGCAGGAACAAATTCTCTAGTATGTGACAAATGCATCAGCAATGATTTTTCATGACATGGATCGTAAATCAAGTGAGGAAGGCAACATACCATGTCCCCTCCAAATGGACGATGTATGCGTTTGCAATTTATTTATGTGCAAGGAGAAATGCTAGCTGCTTCAATCTAAGATATTTATCCTTTACTCACTCTACCCTTACCCTTTATCATTGGAGCAGCAGCCCAAGTGATGGACCGAAATTGTTTCTTGTTTCTATGTTGTTCTCTCTAATTTGTAGTATTTCAAATGTTTCAACTTTTTTTTTTCTTTTCGTTTCTTATCCTTCACAAACTGATGTAATCAGTTGTGAAGATTAGAAATTACCTACAGAAGAGAATAGAAAATTCAAGAAAAGACAAAAAAAAAAAAAAAAAAAAAGCGAAAGTTATGTTTAAGTATCATTAAAATTTCCCCCACTTTACTTTAAAGCAATAGGAGGAAATCACAATGCGTCCATCATTTTCCACTCTCACTTTCGTCTCCAAATTAATTCTACTTCTTTGGAAAATTCAAAATATATTGCCTTTATCAGTTACTTTTCATGATTCAAGTTTAATCCCACCTCCTGGAAATTTATATATAAAAAAAATCACCTCTTAAAATTCTAACATCCTGACTCGTTCATGTTCTAAACCAGGTGTCACCAGAATAGCCTCTGTAGTTAATTTTCAATCATAGGGTAGAAGATTTGATATTGCAACTTAGGCTCCATTTGGATGAGCAGTAAGGTTGATTCGGTGAGATTGAAAACAATAATAAAATTTATCATAATTATGATTGAAAAAAAAATTATTGTACCTACGATTGAAAAAAAAATTTTAATGAAAAATTTATATTAATTTAACCTTACTGAAATTGAAGTTTGGATTCAACTGAAGGTGCAATGAGCTTAATTATATTGGTGTGGTGAGATCAAAACGGAGCCTTAATCTAAAAAAACCTTCCTTTTGTCTTGCCTGGAAGAATAAAGGAGGCTAAACCTCACTTCTCAGGGACCAAATGAGGACAGCACATTATCTAAGTTCCCGGAAGCATAAGGACATATGATTTTTGGTAGTGGAATATACCCGATAAATACAATGTGTCAAAGTGCAAAATAACATTGAAAAAGCTGTTTTCTGTAGGCACATACGATAGAGGCCACTTTGATTTTGCGGATGTAATATTGTTCTCCCTCCTCAACCACAAAAAGTATGTGCCGTCAACCAATATGGAAATGAAACAAAACTCCATATTTACCTTGTTCTGTCCGTCTACTCTAACGGGATATAAGTAGATTAAAGCCTTTCAATTATTTGTCTATATGATTATTATTGAATTTTTCTATGGATGAAGGGTTGAGAGAGGCAGCTCAATCAGGAAGTATTTATGCCTTGTATGCATTAATTCAGGATAATGCTGATGTTTTGAGGTGTATCGATCAGATGGAGTTTGTTGATACTCCATTACACATAGCTGCAGTTGCAGGTCACACTGATTTTGCAATGGAGATGATGAACTTGAAGCCATCATTCGCTAGGAAGTTGAATCAAGGGGGTTTTAGCCCCATTCACCTTGCCTTGCAAAATGAGCAAACGGAGATGGTGGTTGATCTCCTATCGATTGATAAAGATCTTGTTCGTGTCAAAGGGAAGGAGGGTTACACTGCTCTTCATTATGTAGCCAGGGAAGGAAATGTTCCTCTTCTGTCTCTATTTCTGGACCGTTGCCCCTATTGTATCTTAGATTTGACTATTCGAAACGAGACTGCTCTGCATATTGCAGCAAAAAACAATAGATTAGAAGCCTTCAAAGCCATACTGCAATGGATTCAGAGGACCCCCGAAGACATTCAGTTTCAGAGAAGAAGGATCCTGAACTTACAGGACAAGGATGGAAACACTATACTGCACATAGCTGCATCAAACAACCAACCCCAGGTACCATTTATCTCATCCTTACTTTTGTGGTACATAGGAGGCTGCAGTCCGGAGATAAGGCAAGTGATGGAATTTGAACTCCAGACTTGCTGGATGCCTCCTCTTATGAGTAACTACTTGAACCAACCATGTTCTTTATCTCATCCTTCATTAAATGAAGGATTGTATTATATTTTCTCAATAAATTGTGGATTTTTTTTATATTAAGCAGATGATCAAACTGTTGATAAAAAGGAAGGAAGTTAATAGGAACAAGATTAATCAGAATGGTTTAACAGCTTTGGATGTCTTACAAGGACAAACTCTAGTTGACAACAGGGAGAGTCAGAAGATTCTGAACTGTGCTCCTTCTTGGCTTTGGAAGGTCTCAAACTTTGAAACAAAATTGACAGATACTATTAGGGAGATGACACCTGATACGATCAATGCACTGCTAGTGGTATTTGCACTGGTTCTAACAATGACATACCAAGCTATTCTCAGCCCTCCGGGTGGTGTTTCGCAGGGTGATGCAGGTGGTTCGGATAAAGACAACGAGGGGAAATCAGTCGTCAACCCACGTACTTTTTTTTGGTTCTATATTCCAAATGGGGTAGCTTTTTTCATGGCTTGGATCATAACAATGGCCCTTTTAAGAGTTGTTGCCAAAAGTATCATGTGCTTTCTGTCCCCACTGTATATGTTGGTGTGTTTTTGCTATGGGGCTGCAGTGGCCATCATAGCACCATCAACTACTAGTGCTTTTGTTACTCTTGGTGCGGGTTCCATCATTGTTCTCTTAATGGATCGTATCTGTTTATTTTTTTTGAAAAAATAATATAAAATGGATATGTCTAGATTTAATTTATTTTCTCAACTGTAATTATATAAAGCAAGCTTCGAATTGTCTTCTAATTAAATCCATATCATCATCAATTTGAATGAACAATATGCTTTAAATACAAAAAAAAAAAATGTTCAAGGTAATAAATACTCACAATCATTAGCATTTTTTTTCCTGATCATTGGAAAGGTAAGAGTTGTGACTTAAACATTATCCATCAGTACAAGGGTATATAGAAATACAGATTAATTAAGACATATTTAGTTTTTGGCATAAAGTAAACTGATTACTGGTTTATTTTAGGAAGCAAAACCTTGTTCCGAGCAGTCGTACAGAGAGGCGAATCAGGGGCTGTCAAGGGCCCTGTGGCCCTCCCATGGCTGCTCCAAAATTCTTTTTTTTTCTCTCTCTTTTACTGACAAATTAACTTGTTCATACAATGAACACCAATTCTTAAATAAAGATGTAAGAAGAAAGGGTATCAGATCCATAGTGACCCGACTATAATATGTTGGCAGTTTGCTTCTTGTAATAAAACTGCCAAGAGGCAGTTGGCTATTAAATTTAAATTCATATAGGAAGCCCTCCACCATGTCTCTTCCACTCTATAAATTGTGGCATTTGGCCACTATGCATTATGATGAGAATAGTCACTATTAGACACAAGGTAGACAGCATACGGCATTATAGAAGAAATTCTCTTGGAGAAATTTTTGCATTTTGGCGTGTAAATAATTTACATTATGAATACGAACAACTTTTGATTATGTGATTTCATTCATCGACTAGTAATTTAAGTTAGACAATGCTTTCACAAATCAAGTCTTCGGCATTTATATAAATGATTATGTTCATATTATCCTTTAAAACGAAACCATTCTCCTGTATCTTTCTCATTCCAAAATCACTCTTCAAACAGTTAAAAACTTACACTAAAATCCTTTCAAATCAAACTCCCTGGAAATGAAATACATGAAGTGAACAGTAATGCATCAAAGATTTATGATATGATAAATGCTGCTGAAACCTTTTTCTGCCCAACAGTCGCAGTATTTATAGGTAGAAGAGTGCTAAATTTTTCGAGCAACACAAGCAATTCATTGCTGGTAGCTTACTATGATTATATATTTAATAGATTTATATATAAATGAAATATTTTCATTTTATGAAAATTTATATAAAATTAATAAAAACTGAGAATCAAATATTAACTCACTAAAGGAACAAGGTATTTGCATAATTTCATGGGCGAAAATTTATAGTAGTTGTTGGGTTTGGTGGCTTAACAATTAACCAACGCATTAGCTGACTCCCACTTGCTTTGTTCCTTTTTGTTTCATTAGTGACACTATAGTAAATGCAAGAATAAGAGTTGGAAGACTTATAAATTGGTGCAGTGGAATGATAACAATGATTGGTTACTACTATGATCAATAATATTTGTCGTTAATTTAAGAGAAATTAATATATGTGAAATTTTTCTAAACAAATTAATGAATTTAAACACAAATATCTTAAAAATAAAAAAATTTCGAATATCACACTTTTCCAAGAATTGTATTTTCTCCCGGAAACCAAACGCCCCTAATGTTAACTAATGGCCAATGGATGTAAAACCAAAACCAGTTGAAAGAGATGTCCTGCATTCCCTCACTTTTTTTTTTCTCCCATGGCATTTTTCATCCCTTTTCTAATGGTATGTTTTCTGTCAATTTTTTTAATATAAATAATCTCTAACACTTCCTGGAAATTGTTTTCACTGCAGTTAAAACAACAATAAAACTATATATGGCAGATTAAATGCACCTCAAGTTTAGATTATTTCTGGTTAATTAATTAAATTAATTTTGACTTTTACTTTAAATATTCAGACACTTGCCAGCAAAATAAATTAAAGGGATGAATCTCTATTTAAAATGTTCAACCACTTGTACTGAAATGTTCACTCAAGTTTAATGGTTAAACTGATGATCATTTCTTAATATATTGAAAATCTTCATTATTGAAATTGAAAGGCCATTTTGAATCAACATGTAGATCCTATAAATATATTAGACTTTTAGAGTTTCATCACAACTTGAAACAAATTGAAAAGAAAAAGGAAAACCCAAAGAGAAATGCATGCTTTCAAGCTTTTCTTCCTCTTCCCCTCATTACTCTTTTATGTTGCTCTCGCATACAGCAATTAGACCACCAATGGCTGGTTCAAATCTGGCCAAATGGGTACTGTTCCGACAATCCTTATGGCCATACAGTGCTTTCACGCCTTTGACCAGCTAATAGTTCTGGATTGATTCCCAAGCTGTGCAAGAATACTGCAGTTAACCATCAGCTTTGGTATGTTATTTGTTTCATGTTTCATCTTATTTCAAAATTTCCCCCTGCAATTATCAAATGACAAGAAAACGCTGTTAACATGCATGTTAATAACTACAAATAACTACAACATGGAAATATTTGAACTGCAAAAAAGAATTTAACATGTTAATAATTACAACTGCAAAAATAGACAGATAATTTAGGTTGGAATAAAACAAAAAATGAAACAAATAAAATACCAAAAGTTTTGAGTTAATGACAGAATTCTTGCACAGAGTAAGAGTCAATCCAGAACTATCAGTTGGCCAAAGGCCATGCAACACCAACCTCCATGGAAGCACTGTATGGCCACAAGGATTACCGGAACAGTATTCATTTGGTCAGGTTTGAACCAGCAATTGATGATCGTAATTGCTCTGTGCGAGAGCAGCGCAGAGCAATGAGTAAGGGAAAAGAGGAAGAGAAGCTTGACAGGCATTTCTCTTTGTGTTTTCTTTTTTCTTTTCAAGTTGTTTCAAGTTGTGATGGGAATCTATAAGCCTAATGCATTTATAGAATCAGAATGTTGATGCAAATTGGCCTTTCAATTTCAATAATTAAGTGTGATAGTTTCCTATCATTTTCAAAATACAAGAACTGATCACCACCATTATACTTAAGTTACTATTTCAGTTCAAGTGGTTGAACATCTTAAGTAGAGATTGGTCCATTTAATTAATTTTGCTGGTATGTGCTGAATATTTTAAGTAAAGACTAATTAATTAATTAGCAGAGATAATCTAAATTTGTGGTGCATTTAATCTGCTATATATAATTTTATTGTTGTTTTAACTGCAGTGAAATTCTCCAAGGTGACCATGATGATATGATTTACTGTATTTTTTAATGAAAAATATATGATATAATTTGCATTTAATTTGTGCATATCACCCATGATCCAAGAGGTTCTGTAGCCCAAGCACATGAAAAATTTGAGACAAAAAATGCACCCTGTTGCAATAGTATAACTGAAGAACCAAATATAGTTTCAAAAGCAAAGTCTTACAAGTGATCAGAACCAAATGTATTTTCTTACCTTCCTTTTTGTATTACTCTTTTGGTTTATTTTTGTTGTGTCTTAGCATTGGCCTCGTGAGCATTATTGCTTCCTTTTTTGATACGTGATCTTGTTTCTTGGTGTTTTTCCTGCTGGTGCTTTAAGTATAATTTCCTGTATTTTTGTTTGTTTGTGCCAGCTTTTGTGATTCATCATTTTATTCATTATTCTTTAATGTTGTTAAGCATTTTGATGATTATTATTTGAGATTATTTAGATATAACGAATAAACACTGTATATGCATGACCACAATTCCATAATCAACTTGATCTTTCACGATCTTCTATGGGAATGAAGTTTCTTAAGTTTTTTAAATGAAATTCATGAAATTTTTTATTAAAAACAATTAAATAAAAACTAAAATCTAAAATCAAAACCGATAAATTGAAAATTCTTATTATATATATCAAGTATACAGAATTTTAAAAAAATTTATATTTTTTTAGATGGACATTTTTAATAAAAATATTAACAGAATTTTAACTGTTGAATAAATATTGATCAAATTTGAATTATAGACAATATTTTTAATAATTTTTTTATATATCATTGATATTTACATTAAACTCTATCAATCTATCAATTTGAATATTTTTATTAAAATATTTACTAAATTATTTTTAAGAAAGAGCTTCACAAATTTTACCTAAAAAACTTCATGTAAATTTTATCTCTTCTATAGAGCATTTTTTCATTAAGAACATCCAAAATGCTTGAAATAAAAAAGGAAAGAAAAAAATTACATAAATTAGTGGCATTTTTTATTTTTTTAAATTCAATTATTTGAATTTTTATTTAATTATTAATATTTTTCTTTCTTGGAATTTGATGTAAAATATTTTTACTTTTTCATACAATAAAAATTAAAGAAATAATTTAAATTATTAATGGAATATTTTATTTTCATCCATAAGTGATTAGAATTACATAAAAAATGTAATAAAATTGTAAAATTGTAAATATCTATATATATATAGAGTGGTAAATATGTAAAAAAACTCTTTTCATCCTATTGTATTTATAGGTATTAAATTAAAACAACCTGATTAGTATTATGTCATTAAAGAATTTTAAAAATAGAAAGGGTTCCATTTTATGGAAGCAGTGTGTATATATTATTATTATATATTTAGATTGAAGTGTTTGTTATAGGCAATTTCATGCAACTTTTTCAACATGATGGAAGAAGGTGATCAACATATAGTTCCTAGAATCAAACTGGGCAATGACCCATTCAAGACTATCAATTATTGCATCAATGGCTCAATTGTTAGGTCATTTGAATCAATCAATGTTTAATTAAAAAAATATTTTAAATTATGTAAATATTCTAACTATCTAAGTAAAAAACACTTCATGATATAAATGTTAGAAATCATTATCAATGAAAAATTACAAAGGAAGCATTTATAATGATTGTTTTTTTACTTTTAGTTATGTATTATATATTTTTTTTATTATTTTAACTCTTATTTAAAACAAATTAGCTAATATGAAAAAAATATAATTAGTGGGAAAAGCTATGTTAACTATTATTTTAAAATTATTTTGAAATTAATATTTAATTAAAAATAATTAAAATGTGGTGGAATCACTTTTCATAAAACTCTTCAGGTCAAATGCACAATTAATAGTTAACTAAAGAATGGTTCTTTCACTTCTACACTTTCGGTAATTCAATTAAATTTGGTATACTTTATTTTAAAGTGGGTTAGACTAAGTGTATGTTGTATATGATATTGTCATTTACCAGCAAATACATAATTTCCATGTCAATTTCAATTATGTTCCTGCTTTGGCAACTTCAATAATATTCTTTTCTTCTATTTTTTTTATTTAATTATAATTTTATTTGAACAAATATTAACCATAGATAGGAGTAGTTTTAAAGATTATGATGTGGATTGGTTGATAGCAATGACCTTACTGTTTCTAAGGAAGTTTTGTTCTTTTCTAATATTTATTATTTTTATTTTTATTTTTTGTAATTAATGTTTGAGATGGTGTTGGTTTGAAATGAGTTGGTTGATTGAATTCCAGGTTTTGATGTGTTTTCTTTTGTGTTTCTGCATTTTTGTTTCCTGTGAGGGGATTCCTTGAAGTGATCTTATTCTGAACCTAGTAACCAATTATCATTGAAATGAGATTGAATTTGATGGTTGAATTCTGAGTTTTAGTGGTTTTTTTTTGCTTTTGTCATTTTGTTTCTTCAATTTTGGCTCCTAATCAATGAAATGAGATTGAATTTTGGGTTTTGATGGGTTTTTAATTTTGTTTTCTGCAATTTTGGTCCCAAAGTGTTACTTTGCTCAACATGACAAGACAATGCTTATTGGAGCGGACCTTTAACTGGGACATTTATGCTGTTTGTGCAAGCGTAGAAGCAAACAGCAAAGGGTGTGTTATATTTTTTACCAAGGGCATACCCCACTGATAACCAGACCCTTCCTGCATTTAGAAGGTCCCAAGTTCTAATCTCCCCTCCCCAAATATAACCATTCAAAAAAGAAAAGAATATAAGTTTTATCTTCATGATTATGAACATAAGTGGCAATTTATGATGTTGATTGCTAAATCATCTGCTATAGGAAAGATGCTAGGCATCTTACATCTCTGTGCTTCATTTTCCTGTTGCCTGCATTTATAGCAAAATATGGACTTGGTGGATTAAAAAAAATGTGTTGAGATATGGTTGCTTCTCAAGTGAATTCCTCCTTCGATTTGCATGTTTGGTTTTGTTTTTGCATTATGTTTTAAGTTCAAAAAGTAAAAGAGTTGCTGTCAATTAACATGACTTGATTCTGAATGCTTCTTTGGGTGGAATACTAGGTAACCGTCAAGGAAGGCTAACCTCACGAAATTCCGAACCTTTAAAACAAAGGATTAAAAGAAAAGTTATTATTTTATCTTACATTTTCTCTACAGACATTTGCAGACAGAACAAGCTGACTCCTTTAACTTCCTATTCTGTAGAAGATATCAAAACTATATATAGCTTGAACTATAGCTTTCACCTTGGAAGGCATCCTCGTGAATGCGATGATGATAACAAAGTGAATGAAACTGGAGTTCCATGGAACAGATCTGACAAATAATTTCCCAAATCATCAGGCGCAATCCTTACTAACACCTCCAAGTTTTTCTCCCCACTCAATGTCACCAAGTGCGTTTCATAGAATTCTCTATATGCTGGTACAAGTTTCCTTGCTATTGACACCTTCAGTTCATCCCGTAACTTCCCATCTGGTACAATCCACGATATCTGTTTCATATATGCTTCTTCGAAAGCAGCATTAAACCTCCGAAAACAGTCTTTCACAGCTTCAGGTGAAAGTACTGAAAAATTCCTCTCAGGTAAAGATGAGAATACCTTATTCCAGGCCACTGTTTCATAGCTCAAAGCATACTGTTTAATCTTCTTGGTATGCCTAGACACCCATTCCTCGCCTAGGATGTACTTCAGGTTACTTGTATGAACCTGATTGATGATGAATTCAAGGTTGTTTGCTAGGAAAAGATATGACAAAGAGACATCTTTATATATCTCGGCTTTCCTGTCAAGCTTGCATAAAAGCACCAATATAAGCCAAGCAAGATGGACTGACACTGCGAGTGTTGGACCGTCAATGGGAGTTGGATTCTCAAAGTAAGATTCTGGAAGTTGTGACTTTCCGGATGGTGGATGGTTAGCAAGAATATTAGAGAGCATTCCACCATAATCTGCCAGGGAAGATATGAAACTCATTGCAGATCTAGCAAGTGGGTGAATCCCTCCACCGACAACCAGACTTTTCGATGAGTCCTTCTGGATCGATGATCCAAAGTTGGTCAGTAAAGTGCAAACTGACTCACCAACTTTGTGCAGTGATGAATGGGCCTGCAATTTAATAGCTGAGGTCAATTCAACATTGAATAATGTTTCTATATCTGGCCAGAGTTCAGAGATTGCTTCATGGAGTTCCATCAGCCGAAAAATTCTCTCTGGCGCTTTCTTGTTCCTGGCAATGAGTTCAGGAAACCTAAACAAATTTTTTGCCCCTTCCATGGTTATTTCAGCAAAGCAAGCCTCTCTGATAGTCTTAGATGCTGAAAACACGTGGTCAGAGAGAATTTTTTCTCCAGTAAAGAGTGCTTTCACAGCAATCTTCACTGCATTAAGCCAGTTCTTTATCATATGCTCTAGTGCTTCCCAATGCATTTTGTTGATTTGAGAAGACTTGAAATTTTCAATTCCAAGTAGATATAACCCTCGATCAACTATTGATTTTCTGAACAATTTGTATATCTTTGCACATTCTTTACCATAACCAGAACTGCTCATACACTCAGCTATTGCCCTCAAATCTGACATTGCTAATGCTGAGACTCTCTCCACCTCAGTGATTGATTCACCAGCCTTTTTCAGCTCATGCTCATCATCAGAACTGCCTGAACCATCAGAGGACAGACTTGAAACTGATTCTGGATCAAGCCGCTCACGGTTCGATAACAAAATCTGATAAAACTCTTTTTCAAGCCTTTTCATGGCCATTTGCATGAGCTTTTGAGCAAGAATGAGCTTATCAGATGCCGAATTTTGAGAAACAAGAAAATGCATGGCTCGACGAAGGCCTCTAACACATTTGAGGTATTCTTGGGCTTCTTGACTGCTTTGGTGAAAGAGACAGGTAACTTTCGTTGATGATGAAGTGTTTCCATCCCATTTGGTGATGATTGATTCTGCATTTTCAATGCTTTCTTCCATCATTGACTCAGAGAAGGTGCGTCCAGGTGAAGTAACTGTAGGAGAACTTGGAATGAGAGTGCTGGTTTTTGAAGTCTCACCTAACACCGTTTTTGAGTTCCAGGGCACAAAGAAGGAAGGCTGAGGCAAAGAAGTTTGCTGTTATTTTCAAGTCTTGGTTTGATGCTTCTGTATTGAGAGGAGGAGACTATATAGAGCAAAAGGAGCCACAAGTTTCTAGTTGGGGGAGGTTATTTCATATGTTTAGACCAATGAATCATTGACTGACTCAATTGCGGACTTTATATGGCAAAGGATGTCAAATTCAGAAGGAAAGACCTCATAAAAAATCCATGGAAGCTTCTTGTTTTCTCTAGCAACTCAATTTGTTTAACTGTAAACTAATAACACAAGAAGTCTAATATCATGTGCGAGTTCGATCCAATTTTATGTTAGATTTGTTCACTTATATTTTGATTGTTAATTGGTTTATTCGTAAGTCTTACATCATGATCTATAGCACGTATGAAATTGTTTAAGTTGTATCAATACAAGTTATATTATAATCAAATATCATTAATATATACAAAAAAAAAATCAATAAAATTTTATATTCAATTTAATTGTTTTATACAATTATATTTTTAAAAAATGACATTATTCAATTTAAAATTCAAATTCCACTTAAATTACGGTTTTTTTTAATTAAAAAAAAGTCAGTAAATAAATCAAATCAATAGCTAACAAACCATTATATAATATATAATTGGTCGAAATTCAATCTTAACAAGAATTAAACTGAAACTTAAAAGCATAGATTATCGAATATTATGACTTGAAAATTTATCGTTCTTTCATTTATAAATACATTAGATCGTTTAAAAAATTTATTTGTAACAACTACCTACTATTAAACATTCTCCTCCATTGATTCTTGGAAGGTAGACTTGGTTGAAGAATAATGAAACCAATTAAGGAACCAAGAAATAGGTGTCCCATAATATTTCAAACCCCACACTTTTAGTTATTAGGCTACTGTCTGTCTCTCTCCCTTTGCCAGTCTTTCAAAACCAATGGACATTGGACCAACTCCATAACCTTCCATATTAAATTATCCATTTACTTCTTATACCAACCACATATTTCTTCTTTTTTTTTTTTTTCAATATTGCATTTTTTCCCAAAATTATTCAATAAAAAATATTTATGTCATCTCACGAATATTCTCTTTATTTTTAATTATTAATTTGAATTTAAAACAAAAGTAATTAATACTATATCGATTGGCATTGTTTTTATTATCGTATTAGTGTTTTTCTGTATCCATATATTTTGGCATACCATTTCAAGTTTATCGATATTATTTAATATTTTGTATATATATGTTAACACATCTTCATTACATATATTTATATGTTTATATGCAAATATATTATAAATATTTAATATCCAAAATTTACAAATCTCAAATAAATGAAATCATTATTAAAAATATTAAAAAATATATATCATAAATTATTATTTACTATTCTAATTTAATAAATTTATATTATTTTTAGATGAAATTATGAAAAAATAAAAAATTTCATGAGGAAGAAAGTATTAGGAATTGATTAAAGAAATAAAATGTGTCTGGCCAATATATATGTATATATATATATATGAAAAGATTTAAAAATTAAAAAATAAAATCTTGTATCAAACGACACAATGAATATGGATTAAAATAGTTGATAAAAATCAATACTTATTAATACGAATAATACAAAAAGTTAAACAACATATAAATTTTTATATATCAGTTTTTTTATAATCACCGATATAATATTAATAACATTATAAAAATATATAATTTTAAAATTTTAAGTAAAATCTGACATAAATACAAAATAAGGGAACCAGTTTGGTTCATAAGAAGAAATAAAATGAAGATGATCATGCAATTTAAAATATAACATGATAATATAATATAAAAATAATATAAATATAGGACATAAAAATAATACGATTTAAAATTTTAATTATAATTATATATAAATTTAATAAAATTAAAAAATATATTTTATATTTTTGTGTCAATACGAATTATGATACGTAAATTTTATATAAAATATAACAAAAATATATAAATTTTAATATTTTATATTACACAAATATATAAATTATCGAGTATTCAAAATATTGGGATAGGATTTTAATAGGTGGTTGATGTGTGTGGCCCCTACCAAGTTTAACTCTCATTTCAAAGCTCACTTGATTCAATAATTAATTAATGTATATTCGTTCTGTTTAAAGAATTGAAATATTATTATATATAATTTTATATTTGGGATTATTCGTTCAACTCTATGTTGACTTCTTACAAATTTTTTGTTCAAATTTATAATATTTTTAATGTGACCAAAAATATTTAAGGGAATGAAATTGCATTAGATTTTATTTTATTTTACTTTATTTTAGCTCTCCTCAAATTTGTGAGTGATAAGAATCTGTAAATGTGGCTGACATTTAATGTTCTTTCAAACTTTCAACAAATAAAGTTTTCAAATTAAGAGAGCCACAAATTTTCGCATTTTGGTCCCTAACACGCGAACCGCATTACTCTTGATGAAGACACAAAATATTGGTAAGTAAGAATTTGCGGCTTTGATTTTCCGATTCATTTCATAATTTATGTTTTTAATTTCAATATTATAAGGTATCAATATTGAAGGCTATTTTCTTTTATAAAATTTATCTTATAATTTAAAATATAATACAATGACATGATACAAATATAATATAAATAAAAAATATTAATTTAATATAATTTAAAATTTTAATAATAATTATTTATGAATTTAATAAAATAAAAAATATATTTTATGTTTTTATGTTAATAATAATATATAATTTTTGTATAAAATATAATACAAATACATAAATCTTAACATTTTATAGGACACGAATATACGAATCACTAAATTATAGCCATCATTTTAAACAATTTATTTTTTGGCTAAAGTATTAAAAAAAAAATTTTGAATTATTTTACTTTTTTTAAAAAAAATACCTATTTTTATTGTATTTAAATAAACTTTTAAACTTTAATTTGTATCTAAATAAATTTTTATTTCAGATAAAAAAATGGTTTATATTAGAAATTTATTTAGGCATAAATTAAAATTTTAAGAACTATTTAAATACAAATTAAAATTAAAAGTTAAGAATTTATTTGGGTATAAATTAAAATTAAATATTTATTTACATGTAATAAAAGTATAAAAATTTGTTTGAGTAAAGTTATGAAATTCAAAGTTCTTTTTTTATTATTTTAGCTTTTTTTGTTTCTTAAATAATTTTTGGATCAGTCTTCACAGAGATATTTCAATGTTAAATTTTGAGATTCTGTATAGGGTTTAATCCATCAGTTTAAATGCAGTCATTAATTATGTTTTAAATCTAATATTTATTATTAAATATATATTAAATATGATAAATACTTAATAAATTTTTTACTATAATTTTATAATAATCTAATCACAATAAAAAATTATATATAGTTCACACTTTTCATATTATATTTTGATGGATTATACATAATTTTAAATTTTGATTAATTAATTACAATATAATTATTATAAATAATATGTTCTTGTTCCTTTCAATTTTTTTTATTTTTAATTAAGAGTTATTCACTCTCACATATCTAATAAACAAATGTACAAATATTTTGTCCGGTCACAGATATAACAATTGGACTTCTTCAATCCAGAATTTTTTTTTTTTTCTAAGTCTCCAAAAATGCAAAACGACTGATTTTGACAAAAATTATATATATTCAAAGCTTTCAGCTTTTGAAAACTTTAATCCCAAAATTCAAATTAATTATGCAATACTATTTTATATATTTCCAATTTAGATCAGAAAAATGTAAAAAAAAAAAAAAAATTTAAAGAATCAGTCAAGGACACCAGTTCTTTGTTTTTATTTAATCATTTGAAATGAAAACCCTAATTTAATTAATTAATTAACTAACTAATTACATACATAAAGTCGTACACGATCTGACTGAAAGTTAAATTTATTTTGTCTCTCACTTTTTTTTTCTGTGAAGTCTTATCATCAACATATAAATTAAATTTAAAAAATGATGAATTGTATGAAATCTTGAAATCATATAATTTTTTTCATTGATTTGGAATGAAGATTTATTCAAACTTATTCCAACTATAAGCACTACTTTGACCAAATAAACTGTTATTTACTACACAGATAAGAATCTGGAAATAATTATTAAAAACAGATATTCAATAGGAAAAAAAAATTGAAAATGATTTAATAGAATAGGTCAAGATAAATTAGTAAAATGTAACAAAGTGTAAGACAGTTGTTTATTTATTACTTTGTGACAAATCTTTATTGGGTATGTTTGACATCATGAAAATATTGAAATAGAATAGCATTTCACTACCCAATAAAATAAATTATTGTTTTGGCATGCATGCATGCATGAAGAAAATTCTTTTCTTTTTTCTCGAAAAGAACTGATCTCATTCAAAAATATGTAAGCAAATAAAAAATATAAGATGTCACTCCACATAAAAATTATTTGGTAAAGAAGTCGTGGATAATGGATGAGAAAGCTACATCTCATATAACTTAGTCAAAGAATGAAAAAAAAATCGAAGTTACATATATATATATATATATATATAGTTTAAATTATTAATATATTCTTAAATAATTCTATTTTATTATGTATTAAGTTGAAAAAAAATTACACGTATAGACTTTTTGATACTCGTAACCTTCAAATATTAATTTTAATAACATGTAAATTTATTCAAAAATCAATCAGTCAAAATTATATTACTTAATCTAAAGAGATGGCATTAAGTATTAATTTATTAAATTGAAAGTTTCAATCATAACTCAAAAATAATAAATATATATTAAAAATGGATTTTACCAAGTTACTTGGTTAGTTTTAAGGGATAAGGAGTTTAAACTGGCTTTAAGATACACTTTTGAATAATTATATCGTGTTTTGTTAAAAAATTGTTATTATTTTATATTATTGCACACGAGCTTACTTTTTGAATGTAGTTGAATTTGATTCAAATCCAATTTAGTTTTTGGATCCCAACATATTCGAAGAAGATGCATGGAACACTAGATAGAGTGGAATTTGCTTCAATTTTATTTCTACAATTCAGCAATTGAGATTAGATAACTAATCTGGAATGCTTCATTTCTATGGAGTATAACATATCTTATCTTTCATTCCCTATCTCAACCTAACATTCATCAACTCATCAACAAATGGAAAAATCCCTCATTTAATTACCACTTCAAAAAGATCAGCATCCTGGTTTGACAAGGAAAAAGTTCACACAAACATAACAATTGAACAAAATCACAACTTGGGTTTCATAAATATGATACTAGCAAAGTAAAGGACAACTGGACTTGAAAATAAAATCCTATCTGAAAGATGCCTACACCTTAATGGCATACTTCCTCATTGGGAAGTAAATTTCCCTCTTCTTCTCCCGTTCAGTCTTCAACGATGCCTGACAAGCATAACAACCGATATTCAGGTACAACAGAAGATGCTATACATACAATAATCAAAATGCTTGGAATAAAATAAAAGTTTCTATAAGAGAAATTAATATCTTAATCAGGTACTACCCAGCATCCATTGGGCCAATCATCCTTAGAATTTGGATATTCTAAAGTTCCTACTTACATTAAAGAAGTAACATCTATTCAATTAGTCTTGAAAACATGTCATTCAAAGTTCCAAGCATTCAAGAAGATGGAGAGAAGTAGAACATAAGCCGAAATAGCATGATATTAGGGTTAACTTGTTCAACAAAAAGCTAGCAGAAAGGATTCAACATTATCAAAAGGATGTCACTACCTGGTGCTTGGTAAGCCTTCTCCTGATGGCTCTGGTCTTCTTGGGACGTAGATCAAGAGGCAAGAATTTCTTCTTCTTATATGCCTCCCTCAGTGCGGCCTTCTGCTTCTGTGAGATTACTGTCAACACCTGAGCAATTGATAGCCTTACCACCTTTCTGCATCCACAAAAACACCAGACTTAAAACAGCATACCAAATCCAATAAATCCAGAACCAGAACAGAAAATCCAAATGAATAAAGCCTAAAATATTGAACTCACAAGCCATAATTTAAACTCATAAAAAGCACTCCAAAATGTAAATTTCCAAACCCACAAATACAAATGCCCTAACTTGCTCTTAACATACTTAACTTGCCCATCAAATCATTTCAAGTTCATTTTCACTACTTTCTTTTTGCTTCTCAGAAAGTCACTAAATCACCGAATTCGAGTAAAAAAAAAAGAGAGAGAGAATATAGCTAATATAAACATCAATTCAAACATAATTGTTCATGTATAAAGTAAAATCATGCAGCTTGTTATACATGAAAACAAATTTCTTACTTTGTATTCTTCAAAGCCATTAGTATTTGAAATTTTAGCTATCAAAACACAATTTGACACTTATATCAGTAGAAATATCATTTCAACCATTTACTCATTCTTAATCAATTATCACTACTTTAATGCATAATTATTCTATCAATTATCACTACTATAATGTATAATTATTCTATCATTCACTTTCACTACATAACAACATTTTACAAAGAAAAAAGCAAGAAATAAAAGCAACAATCAATCAACCAAATAAATACCCATTTCTCCAAATAAACTAGGAAACTATATTCCACTTCATACACCCAATTAAACATAAACTTAAGATCAACAGCCATAACAAAAATAAAAGCCGAAGAGAGAGAGAGCAACAGAGTTACATCTTGGAAAGCTTGTTAGATGCACCACCGGTAACTTTTGCAACGCGAAGAAGAGCAAGTTCAGCTTTGAGATCTTTCAATTGAGCTAAAAGGTCAGCTTTTGACTTCTGTCTCAACTCATGGACCTTGATTCTCGCTGTGTTTTTTTTTTTTTTTTTTGGATTTCCAAACAAAAACATAAATAAAAAATTAGAAACATGAAAAACCCATATTTAATTTCCTTCTTACAAATAACGAGAAAATGAAAAAAAAATCATTTTTAGGGGTTATTATCAGTTACCCATTGCTTGATTCTTCCGCTGTTGTTCTCCTGGCACTGCAAACGGCGGCTTCCCTCTGTTATTCTGATAAATAAATATGAAACCCTAAAATAGAGGAAGTGAAGGGCTTTTATGTGTGGAGTTCATTTGGGCCTTAGTGGGCTTTATTTTTTACACTTTTCAGAAATTGGGTTAAATTTTTGGGTCCAAAGGAATGAAAATTTGGGTCCAATTTCCCATATGATTTTCAATTTTGGATTTTGAATAAAAATTATCATGCATTGATTTTGGAAATGTTCATGGATCGGGTCTTGTTGATATTGTAAATTTTATAAACGGTTTTAAGAAATTAACACGTATTTCATTTTTATTTTTATTAATTTCTTTTATTTTTTAAATATACTAAAAAAAATGTGTCGCACTTTTAATTTTATAAAATCTAAAAATTCAACTGTCAACGTATATGATAATTTCTATATATAAAGTTATATATGTATATTTTAAAAGATATTGGTGATACCTTTTAAAGATACTCATGCTATTAGATGGAAAAAATTTTTGATTCTTATTATAAATCATCTAGAATCAAATGCTATCTTGCATTGATTTCTTTTACCAAATATATATATATATATATATATTATAGATTTAAAAACTATTTCGTTAGCTAACCACCTTTATAATAGGGATTAAAAAAAAAAAAAACAACTATTTGGGACGTGTCTTAAAGAAAATGAAGTAATGAAAATGATATTTTAATTAAAATAATGCAAAATGATCAAGTTAGGAAAGTGACTCTATAAATATAATACAAAATTTTGAGACCTACAATGGTTTAGTTATGAGTTATTTTAATATTTAATTAATATATGATTTCTTCCATAAAAAATTTTAAAAAAAAATCTCTTTTGACCAAGGTTCCATTGCAATTATTTGATTTATATAAATTAATATTCTTTGTGCTTCACATGTCTCCACTTAACTAATTCTTTTATAATATATTATCTTAATAAAATTCTCTCACTAAATGATTTTTTTTTATTTGGGGAATTTTTTTTAATACATATGAAAGCTTATTTGACTTAAATTATATTAAAAAAGTGATAATTTTTTTCTCTCATTTTATAAATCTTTTCGTATTATCTGAATTAAGATGATATGGATACATTCAGTAAATTTAAATTTTAACCGTGAAGATATTTTAGAAGATGTTAAAGAGGATAAGGATAAATGATAAATGATACTTTTAAAATTTTATTTTTAGAGTATGAAAAAAATTGTAATTTAAAAATAAAAAAAAAAATTGCAGTATTGAAATTTAATTTAAATTTTTTTAAGACCATCTCTTGAAAAAGCCTACATAAATTAATTGGGTTGGATTCGTTGCTGATAAGGATTTTTTATTGATCTTGCTATCATTTTCAGTTACCGACCATTTTTAACGATTGAATTTAAAAGCCTAGCCCTAGCAACGTGGTTTAATTAACTTTCCTTTGCTTAACTAACACATCATTTGATATTGAAAAAGAAAGTTCTAATTAGCGATCAAGTTTTAGGATTTGAAAATTAAAATTTTTTGTGTTTCCTAGTTCTAAAGTAGATGTACATAATTTTCATCCGAATTAATATACTAATTAAATAATTAATGTATTTTTTATAGTAAATTAATCAATGTCTTAAATTATAGGTCCAAATATTACCTTATCACAAAATGAAAATATAGTAATGATAGGTTAATAATTGCAAATTTTTATTTTTTTATTGAAACAATTTCACAATCTTTGCTATTCTTTGCTCCATTTTAAAATTCATCTCTTTTTATAAAGGCAATAACAATTTAGAACAGATAGGATTTTATTTAGTTTTTTCATATATTAAATAATATTATGAATTTTTAAAATATAAACTGAACTTTCATACAATTTAAACTAAATTGAATTAAATTTTATTAATTTGATTCCATTTAGTTTAATTTCTGTTTTAAAATTTTAATTTTTTAATTTTTATATATTATTTTAATATAAAATTTTAATATATTTAAATAATTTTTGATATAAAATTATTAATTTTATTTTACAAAAATTTAAAAATATATATAATTTGATTTAATTTATTTATTTTTTATTTTTTACCTTTCAATCCAAAAATTCGATTCAAACCTAATATCCACATTAAATATCTAATTTGATCAAATTAAATAAAAAATTAATCTAAATCAAACCAAGCCTAACCCCATAATTTTAAATTAATTTTTTATTTTTTTATTTTTTTCTCATCCCTATCTTTTTAGTCGGTTGCATTCACCCTCAATTATTGTCAACATTCACCCCCAAAAGCACATCTGTGATCTGACGGACAGAATTGAAATGGAGTGCACTAGGTAAGTTCTTACGATAACTGTCACAAAAAAAAAACATGTTGGATTTCAAGCTGTACGAACTACAAAGTACAGAAACGTGATTTTGTGTTTTTTTTTTTTTTTTTCTACTTAAACTCGAAAAAACATCAAAAGTGAAACAATAATTGAGAAATCTACTTCCATTTAAGATTTATTCTGGTCGGCAAGGGGATAAAATTTATGTGAAAAGATTTTTAAGTAAAATTCGTGAAATTTGTGAAATTTTTTAAAAATAATTTAATAAAAATTTTAAATTAATAAATTGATAAAATTTAATGTAAAATTTAATAATATATAAAAAAATTATTAAAAAAATTATTTATAATTTAAATTTGATTAATACTTAGTTAACGATAAAAATTTTGTTAATATTTTTATTAAAGATATTTATTTAAAAATATATATTAAAATTTATTAATTTTTTTTTAATTTTACACACTTAATATATATAATAAAATTTTAAAATATATCAATTTTAATTTTTTATTTTTATTTTTATTTAATTATTTTTAATAAAAAATTTCATAAATTTCACCTAAAAAATTTCATCTAAATCTTTCCTAAATAAAATACCCCATGAATTTTTGTGATGCAAAAATTAGGATAATAATAATTTGCACATTGAAAAAAACTATCACATGGATTTTATAAAAGCAATTCTTTAATGTTAAAGGCGACGACCAATTCAGCAAATTTGTGCTAAAAAATCTTCAACACTTGCGTGTATTATTTCTCTTTCCAATTTTGACGCGGTTTGGGATTTTTCATCTAGTATTGACTTTGGCATTATGTTCACAAAATCTCTCAATGCTGCTTGCAAGTTGCAAGAGTGACAGTGTACTATCAATTTTTTTAATAAAAAATTGAAAATAATGAATAAAAAAATTATAAATATTAAATTTATAAAAATTTATCTTTTAAATATAATTATATGAAACAATTAAATTAATTTTACATTAAATTATTTATCAAATTTCACTTACATCGATTAATCTCATCTATTTCATCACTTAATTTGTGTATTACTTTTAAAATTAATTTAATAAATAATTATGATGAGGGTGATTGATAATTAAAATTGATAAGTGTCATGATAATTTTTTTAATTTGAAAAAAATAAAGATTCGAATTTTACCCTTTAAATAAAAAAATTACGCATCAACAAATTGAATTAATATGCATATAATTTTTTTATATTATTGAACAATAACTTTGTATTTTTAGATTTAGACCCAATGATAGGTCAAAACATCTTCTACTCCAAAAGCTAAGTTTCAAATCCCTCATTTCATTTAAAATTGTAACTTAAAAAAAAATTATAACAAAATGGTTTATTCAATTTGTTATTTCAGAAATAAAAAAGTTTTGAATTCAAATATTAATAATCTTTTATTAACGTTATCTAAAATATAAAATTCTTCGAAAAAATGAGTGACAAAACGACACGTTTTATGCCGGGAGGTTTATTATTATTTATAATTAAATCTTACAAATGGATGAATCAAATAGGAAAAGCTGAGCAGAAACTTCTGAAAATGGAGATCATATAGGCATCCATTTGAGACATTGAGAAGCAGCAGTTCTTGGTCAAAGCTGCCGTCCAGTAATCATAACACTGTTTGTCCGCGGCAACCATTTCTAATCAAAATTGATTGCAAGACAATTTTTTTTTTTTATATTTAAAGTTACCAAAATTTAAACTTTAATCACTGAAATTAAAGGTATGGAGATGGTAGCGCATTTCTCGTCTTTATCATTAAATTTTTATGTTATATCTATCATCATATTCATATCTAATAAATATTTTAAATCTATCATATTTCATTCTTGTAGATATTTAATAGATATAAATAATTTTTATATCCGTAATTTTTTTAAAAAATAAAAAATCTATATATTTTAAGTTTTTTATTTTTATTTTGTATATTTAAATAATTTATATTATTTAATAAACAAATATATTTATTAAATATATATGTATAATACGGTTACAAGATGGATGTATATTACTCATTTTCATTCTCATATTTAATAAAAATTTAAAATCATATTGATTTTTATCTCTATTCTCATAATATAATACTTATCCAAATATTTATTAGGATAAAAAATTAAATTTATCTTTGAGTATGAATAAAATTAATACCTTTGTTTAAAGGTTGGTTTTTAAAAGATTACCTTACCTTTAAGTCACATAGAGCTAAATTCATTAACCAACGACAATAAATATGAACAACCAAATTTGGAAAAATGAAGAAAACAATAAATATAGGGAAGAAAATGTAACCCAAAAGACTGCAAATTGGAAATCCATATGAAATCAGCATTGTTATAATACACCAATTGGCCAAAAAAAATTATGATACCAATTGCGAAAAAGGAAATTATCAATGTAATAAAAATAAAAATAATGACATCATATAGATAGAATTTGTTGGTGCTTGATTTTCCAATTTCTTCAATATTTAATTCAATTACATCATTCTTTTGTATTTATTTGATTGCCTTTCAAGTAACAAAAAAAATCTTTATGCAACTATTTTAAAAAAATTTTAACATCCAATAAATTTAGAATTTAAATTTCAATGTTTTTTATTTTCAAACATTAAAAAAAAATTTTCTTACAACGAAATTCTTTATTTATGATGTAATGTTAGTTAGTCTTCCCATCATTCCTTTCTTGTAATCACTACAAAACTTGATTTTCTTTCAAAGTGACTAACTAGTACTAGCTAAATAATTTTGAATCCAATTTCTTACTTTTCAAGAAATACAATTAAATCCATCCCTTTCACAAAACAACCCCAAAGTAACAGCAATTTTTATAAAAAATATAAAAAAATACAAATTAAATTAAAAAAAATTCATGTGGCAAATAAGTTATTATTATATTTTGAGATTTTCAAACCATTGAATCCCAAGTGGGATAGTGGTCAAGAAACTCTACCCAAAGCCGCAACCCCACATCCATATCTCCCTATCTCTATATATGCAAATGACTTAGACCAAAAAAAATTGTCTCTAGCCCAACGAACTTCTTTACTTCCCTTCCATAATTCTCTCAAGTTTTTTATTACACCACTTTCCAATACCCTTTCTTTTCCTTGGTTTCTGGTAACCAAGTTTAGCCATAACTTTCAGGGTTTTATAGTCTTACTGCAACAAAAACACGAAAAAAACATGGTTTGTTCTTGTTTTTTATTACATGATCAGTTTAATGTTTTTGTAATATACTGTTATTTATGATTATTTATATTCGGGTTGTTTTTTTTAATGTTTTTAGGATCTTGAAAACGGAACCGTTCGATATGAAGAGGTTAGTCTATTGGCTCTCTGGTTTTGAGGTTTATCAGTTTCTCAATCTGGTTTTCTTTTTTTATATATATCTATTTTTGTTTACTAAACTGTCTTTGTTTTTAATAATCTTCCAGGAATATATCTTGAATTCTGGAGGACTAAAGCTTTTCACATGCAAATGGATGCCAGTGAATGAAGAACCGAAAGCTTTAATCTTCATCTGCCATGGTTATGCCATGGAATGCAGCATCACTATGAACAGTAAGTATATATATATGAATATATGCAGAGTATAATTGATTATCTGAATTCTGATGAACCTGATTATGATTAATCCAGGTACTGCGATTCGGCTGGTGAAAGCAGGATTTGCAGTTTATGGAATAGATTATGAAGGCCATGGAAAGTCATCAGGGCTGCGGGGTTATATGTCAAATTTCAACAATATTGTTGATGATTGCTCAAATTTTTTCACAGAAATATGTGGTAATTAAAACTCAATTTTTTTTTCTTTTTAATTACTACCCTTTTTAACAGATCAAGAATTAAACACTTTAAGCCTTTTGATCAAATCCTATATATGAAATTTCAATCCTATTGTTTCCAATTATGACTTATTTTCATGTTATTTTTCTATGGAATTTTCAGAGAAAAAGGAGAACAAAAAGAAGATGAGATTTTTGTTAGGGGAATCCATGGGTGGAGCTGTAGTGTTGCTGCTTCATAGAAAAAAGCCAGAATATTGGGATGGGGCGATCTTGGTTGCACCAATGTGTAAGGTAATGTGCCCTTATTTTATTGCTTTGTGTCCTTCACCAAATCATGACCTTTTCTTGGTTTTTCCTCTTCAACCGCCCTTTATTGTGGGAACCACAGCCTAACACATAACACATTTTGCACAGGCAGATCTAAAAGTCTGATACCCTTTTTGAAAAGCCAAAAAAAGAAAAATTGCGTTGACCCAAAACTTTGGTAATCACAAGGGGAAGTTGATTATGAGAATAGACTAACAGAAATTTGTGCTATTGCTTGTTTAGGTGATGAAATTGCCTATTAAACTGGGGAATTTCTTTTCTTTTCTTTTCTTTTCTTTTTTTCATAAAAGTGAACATTCTAAGGTTGAAAAATAAAAGAGTGAAGTGTTTGAAAAATGTCATTTTTCCATTATTTGATTACACTTTTCTTCACTGTTTGGGCTGTTTTTATTTGAAAAATCCATGGTTTTGTTGAGCCCTCATTTTGGAATTAGGACCCTAAGATTTCATCATCTCATATTAAAGGCTGTTGACTTTATTAAAATGTCAAATCTTACCTCACAACTAAGGAGCTATGTTTTAGTTCATTTTAGTAATTTTTTATCAATTTAAATAAATTTATTTACGTCGAATCTAATAAATTCATAAGAATTTAATTTCTCATGATAGCTCGACGAATTTAAATTCAAATAATAAAATCCAAATTATAAAAAATATATATTTTTATTACTTAAATCAACCATCCGATAATTCATTTAAACATTGTTAACATGAAAATTATGTAACCAATTACATATAATTCTAAAATCTTTTAAATGGGTTTCATTTTTTTCCTTTAAATTTGAAATCCTTAGACAAATTCTTTATATAGAGTAAAAAATAAGGCTTTACTTACAGCTTTGAACAGCTGTTATAATGGAATAAATTTATCCTAGGTACTTTGATTAATGTGCTAATTTTGCCTAAAATATTTGCAATTCTCACGTTCTAGGTCCAGCCCAGATTTGAGTCAGACCAAAAAATTTTTTTTAAAAATGTTATATGAATAGATTAATCTTTAATTTAGATCAGATCCAGATTATTTCAAACCAAAGGAATATTAACAATATTTTATTTTTTATCCACAGATTGCAGATGATATGAAACCACATCCACTAGTCATAAGTGCTTTACGAAAGCTTAACAAATATATTCCAACCTGGAGAATAATTCCAAGTCTAGATGTCATTGATGCTGCCTTTAAACAGCCTGAGATAAGAGCACAGGTATTTTTCCCCTCCCATTAATTTGTATATATATTTATTTTTTTTACGTGTAATCTGTTAATAAAATATTAAAAATAAATGAATATTTTGAAAATTTTTAATTATTCGATTAAAAATTATCAGTTTTAACTTCTTTATAAGTTAGATTTGAACTGTATATGTTTGCTAATTTGATGTTAACAACTTAAATGATTTACAGGTTAGAGCAAACCCATATTGCTACAAAGGACGTCTTCGTTTGAACACAGGCAATCAACTTCTAAATACCAGCATTGAGCTTGAACAAAGGCTTCGTGAGGTTTGTTTTCTTTTTTATTTAGTTCAGGCAAAACCTAAAAATATCTTCACCTCTATTATTAAAAAAATCAAACCATCAATTTATGTTAAAAAAAAAAAAGAACAAGTGAACAAAAATTAATCTTTTTGTTAATTTTTATCAGGTTTCATTACCATTTCTAGTTCTCCATGGAGGAGATGATAAAGTAACAGATAAAGCTGTGAGCCAAACACTCTATGATGTGGCAGCAAGTTCAGACAAGAGTTTCAAGCTGTATCCTGGAATGTGGCATGGCCTGCTATATGGGGAAACACCAGAAAACATTGAGATTGTATTTGCAGATATCATCAGCTGGTTAAATCCGAGAAGTGAATCAGGAAATTCAAGGTTGGAGAGGGAATTGAAGCATCAAAATGATAAGTTGTTGAATTCAAAAGACAGTGGAAGACATCAATAATTATGCATACTCTCAAGGTTCCTTTTGTTCAGCAAATAACAATGACATGATGTAAATTTTTTAAGGGAAAAATAATTTTATGCGATATTACTTCAATCAGTGGAGAGAGTTTTAGCTTTAGCCTGATAAGCCCAGGGATGAGATCAAGCTATACAAGCCTGAAAATGTGTAAAAAGTGAAAAAAATTGTTGTTGCAACCATTGGTTTTTGAAATTAAGGGTTTTTTTTTTCGATATTTGAAGTTGACAAGATTTAAATTCTGATCATAAAATTAAGAGTTACATTCTCTACCAATAAATTTTAGATTTTCAACCATTCGTATACTTTAAAATCACAGATATACAGCATTTTTTCATACCAAAAAGTAACTTACATGATAAATAAAAATAATAACACATAAGAGTTTATTTATTAATTAATCCTTGAGTTGCTATCATAATGATGATCAATTAATTTAAATTTACTTTTTTCGCATGTGGCCATGATATTAAAGTTGATATATTTACATAATACATATTTTCTCGTGTTAAAGATAAAAATATATTAATAATTATGTGATTTGTTGATAGATAAGGTTAGATCAAGCCTAATATGATATTCAATATTTTAAGCAAGTCCAAGTCCGGTATAGCTCAATTTTTTGGGCTCCATTTTCTACTAAAGTTTGATCTTACATATGATAATAAAATTCAAATCTGTCAAAAGCATTGATATTTAAAATTAAGAAATTTTAAATTTTTTTATAAATTATTAATTTAATCAATTTAATTAAATTTATGAGTCATTTAGGCTTGAATTCAATTTAATTTTGTTGAATACAATTTAAAATTGAATCATTATTTTGTATAAAGAAAAAATAAATTTTATCATATTATAAGTATTAAAACAAATGGCCATATCCATCATAAAAAGTAAAGCAAATGGGTTTTGCCCTATTATGATAAAAAAATATTTTTTAATTTTTGGGCTAAACCTAGGCCTTAAATGGTAAAACTCAAATCCAATTTTATTTTGTGATCAAGTCTCATTTATTTGTTTAAGTTCATTTAACGGGTTTAATATTTATATTCAAAATTTTCAAAATTTCGAAGGATTTTCGGGTTCGGATGAGCCGTTCAACCCACGAATGCGTCTATGATGTTAATAAGAACTTCTAATTTAAGTAATAAAATAGCTTTAAAAGAGCGTTTGGTTCGCGAAATTTTAAATTTCAAAAAAAAGTGTAATTCCTAGGAAAATGTGATACTAAAGTTTTTTTTTTAATTTTCAGGACATTCGTTATTCAAATTTACTTATTCGTTTGGGAGAATCCACATATATTAATTCATGAATAATTACCATAATCACCTTAATATATATGATGGCAAATTTTTATTAGTTTTTATTAATAATATATATCCTAATAACAAATTATGTATTTAATAGCAAAAAAAAACAAATATTTTATTTGATTGTTATTTTTATTTATAAAATATCATCAATAAAAAAATATTGAGGGATTATTTAAGGCATTTCTAATTGAAAAATGCCTTAAATAATCCCTTTTATTTTTTTAAATGAATTATTTATGGTAATTTTTGTCTAAAAATGCCTTAAATAAATGCCATTTAAAAAATATGAAGGAATTATTTAAAGTTTTTTTTTATCCAAAAAAACCTTAAATAATCTCTAATATTTTAAAAGGAGATTATTTTAAGGTATTTTTGGTCAAAAATACCTTAAATAATATCTTTCAAAAAATTGAAAGGTATTATTTAAAGCATTTTTTACCACAAACGCCTTAAATAATCTCTAATATTTTTTAAAAAATGATTATTTAAGATGTTTTTCATAAAAAAAAATCTTAAATAATACCTTTAACTTTTTTGAACTGTATTATTTAAGGTGTTTTTTTACTAAAAATACCTTAAATAATTAATTTCATTACTTATAAAATTTAAGAGATAAAATATAAGAAAACTAGAATAGCTCAATCGGTTAGTGTATATGCTTATTAATCACAAAGTTGTAGATTCGATCCCTCTTTCTAGTGCTTTAATATTTTTTTAAATGGATTATTTAAGGCGTTTATTGTCAAAAATGACTTAAATAATCTCTTTCATTACTAATAAGATTTAAGAGATAAAATATTAAAAAATTAAAATAGTTCAATTGGTTAGAGCATATGATTATTAACTATAAGATTATAGGTTTGACTCCTCCCTTTAGCGTTTATTTTGGAGGATTACTTTTTTTTTAGATTATTTAAGGCATTTCTAGTCAGAAAACGTCTTAAATAATATTGATCAATTTTTTAGAGGATTATTTAAGATGTTTTTGCTAGAAAACACACTAAATAATCTCATTCAATTTTTTGTAGCTGATTATTTAAGTTGGCCAAAAACGCTTTAAATAATCTAAAAAAATTGAACATGATTATTTAAAGTTTTTTTAGCCAAAAAACACATTAAATAATCTTTAAAAAATGAAAAAGATTATTTAAGATGTTTTTAATGTCAAACGCCATTAATTGTAATATTAAAAAAAAATTAGCAGTAGAAATCTACAACCGATTTGCAATCACTTCTAGACATATTTTTCAAAATAGTAATGACTATTTCATAATTTTTTATTTAGGTTAAATTTGAAAATAATGTAATTTTTTCTCTCGGAATCCTAGAATACCATAAGATAGGTGAATTTTTTATTTCAAGATTTTAGGTACTATTGAAATCTGTCACTCCCTCGAATCAAATTACTTTGGATTAAATGTTGAAATCAAACACCCAATAATAGGATTTTCGAAAAAAAATACATAAATTTTCTCGAACCAAACGTTCCCTAAGTATAAAAATTTAGCTCCAAAAAACAAATACATAATCTTAATTTAAGAGTTGATTCTTGTAAAATTACTATATATAAATATACATGTCACTAATAAGTCAAGTAGCAATGCAAATTGGAAAAGCATTATCTAAGCAAGATAACCAAGTACTTAGAAAAAAAAAATCAAGGCTCGAAGGATCTTTCATCATCTTCTTTGACACTTTCTTTTAAATACTATGAATTATATATGTATTTTGATTTTTATATATTTAAAAGGGGATCAATTGATACTAGTGTAAAATTAGAAAATTTTACATTTTTTTATTATTGATTTTAATAAATTCAAAAGATGAAAAACATAAGTGAAAAAAAATAATTTAATCTCATTTCTTGATAAAATCAATTATTAAAAAAATATAAATTTTTTTTGTATAAGTTGATCCATTTCCTTTATAAAGTAAATAGAAGTTTCCCACACCCTCTCAAAAGAGAAATTTGTTTATCATCTTCATGGCATTGGTATTTTTTTTATTTGAATTTCTTTATTCACATACACACGAATACACATAATATATTTAGTTTTATACTGATATAAATTGATACCTTACTCTTTTAAATATATTCAGATTAATTTCGATTGATACTTTTAATATTTTATTCAGGGTTTAGTTTGACAGCCTTTTTTTTATTCAAATAAACTTGTTTATTATTTTAAATAATATTAATATACTTAGATTTTGTTTGAATATTAATATTTTAAATATTTTTTAAATTAAATTTTAAATAAAAATAAATTTAGTAATAAAATAATAATTTGGACCGAGTACATATTTTCAAAAAAAATATCAACCTACATGCTACTAAGTTGTCTAGTACATATTTTAAAAAAATTATGCAAATGAAATTCACGAAACTTCTTATTAAAAATTATTAAACAAAAAACTATAGCATAATCTTGACTCAGTTCTTTGTAGCTCCATGGCAAAGAAGACAAAGTGACTGATTAACAAGTTAGCAAAGAACTATACAATGAAGCTTCAAGCACAGACAAGACCTTAAAGCTGTACCATTAGAAAACATCGAAGTCGTTTTTGCAGACATTGTCAGATGGTTGGAGGACAGAACTTACCTCGGAAATTTAAGGTTGGAGATGGAAAGAAAGCTTGAAAGTGATAGTAATTTTTATTTGAACAAGAACAATAAACTGTAGTTTCATCGATCAATTGAAGTTTAAGTTATTTATATGGGAAGAGAAATATCCTTAAACTATTAACTCGTAAGTTTGGTATGCTTATGAAAAACCTAAAACCGTAATAATTTTTATCCGAACATTTGATTTAATAATTAATATATAATTTTTTACTCTAAATATTTGCTTATCGAAACACCAAATCATATTATTTTTTATCCGAACATTTGATTTAATAATTAATACATAATTTCTTATTCCAAACATTTGGTTTAGTAATTAATGAATGATATCTTACACAAAATTGCAATGTTCGAATGATTAGTTATTTGTATTGGAAAGAAAAATCGTGTTGTTCAATTTTCTTAGAAAAGTAGATTCATGTCATGTTAAATTCGGATTTCTCAAAATAATTTCATGGTATCAAGTTACATTTCATCTTTAAATTAACTGGCCATTGGTTTAAACATAATCTTGATTCTTGAATTGCCCAATTTGAACAAAAAAATTGGAATCCAGGGCATTCCTCTTAATCATCTAGATAGTAAAAGGCAAAATTCAAAAAGTAAACACACTTTAAACACAAATTATTACAGAATGTAATCCTAATCAACAAAACATCTGATCCTCTAAAACCTAGTACATCTTAGAAATAACTGAACAAAGTTTTATCCCGGAAGATTTGGGTACATCTTAGCAACAACTGGACAGGTTTATATCAGGCAAGAAGGAAACAGAGACTAGACCAATCACCCACTTGAACTTGCAGGGCCAACAAGAACTCCTTGAGCTGAGCCTTCCTTCTTGCTGCTTTCATCATTTACCTCGCTATCAGACTTTTTTATTCTAATTTTGTATTTTGCCTCGAAATCAGCAACTTCCCTTTTCTTCTTCTCCAGGGCCTCGTTAAGCCGAGCAATTACCTCCTCAAGACCTTCTTTGTTTCGCTGCACAGCCGGGAGAACCTCTTTGATGGTTCTCTCCACCAGCACACCTCCAATCATCCGGTAACACCGCCTTGATGGGTCAAGCGTCTGAATGGCATTTATAACTAGTGAATGCTCACTCACTTCCATCTCCAACTCGGTGATCTTAGAATAAATTTGATTTAGTTCCGATCTCATAGCTCCATACATATTTGCCACCACTTGCTCATTTACAGGTTCCTTACTCTCAGATTTGCTGGCCATTGTTTTCTGCAAACAAAGGGAATAATGATATTAACATTGCAACGAAAAGAAAGCAATAAGTAATCTGTAAAGGGAGACACAACACAACAAATTCGAGAAAGAGCAAAAATCTTCAAGACCAAACTTTTATGATTTAATAATATGAAGATTTATATTAAACATTGCAGTTAAAGTACCCACATTGCAAAATCCTCAAATGGCAAGACCAACACCGAAGTAGGATTATTTGAACAACCGCCGTAATGATACTTGTAGCAATCTTATTATTTGAACAACCACCATAATGATACTTGTAGCAATCTTAGAAAACAAAAACCATGAAAATATGCTTCCAGATGAACTAAAACACTAGAAAATCTATTTCAAAATGAAACTCAAACCACCCCAAACCAAGATTATTTGCCAACTGAGAACCTTAATCAGAAAAATGTTAACATCTGCACAAATGTTAAATCAAATTTTCCAATGAAAAGCCAAAAGGAGAAGAAAACCCATCTCCACAAATGATACTACTAATACGTGAAAAGGAAACACTACTCGGAAAAGGCCTCATACATCCAGTAATGAGGAAAGAAAAAACTCTATAGAAAGAAGCTGCTTGTTACAAGAGCATCAAATTTGGAGGTGTTATACCCAACATTTTTGGCCGAAACATTATGAACCTGGATCCTTATGTAAGAATACTGGACTTGGGCATCAAGATTAAGGCTCAAGCATTCAAAGTCTAAATTGGAGCTTAACTGCACAGCACCTAGGCACCTCAGACCCAAGTGGTTGGCAATTGTTATGCACATAAATTACACCCAGAACAACATAATAATTTGATACACCCTATATTAAGGTAGTGTGCCCCCTATCACCCATACTCTCTCTTTCACTCTCTTCACTCTAGCTTCTTTCTCATTTATCTTAACTCTGATTTCTCTCTACGATTCTGGTTCCATTTGGGCTTCACCTCAAAGAGTGGATGTGGGTGTGGTATTTAGATAGAGATCCTAAATTTGAGCTACAGAACAATTCAAGTATTTCTACATAATAATTCTTAACAGAAATAGTATAAAAACTAAAAGTTTGTCTCAGGCTAAAACATAAAAATAAATAAAACAAAACAAACCCTAAAGTATATCTAAAATTTTATAACGAAATCAATTAAAAAAATGATCAAAAAGATATAGCAAGTACTAAAATCAACTAAATACTGTAAAATTTTTATCATTAAAAGATTCTACGGTTACATAATAACAGAAGTTACTAAGCATCAAAGTTAAACAGTCAATTTTTAGGCTTAGAAAGAGATTCGAAAAAAACGGAATTGAAAAAGAAAAACAGAAAGAAAAACTAACCTGGGTCTCGGCGTTGGCAAGGTGACAAATCAGAAAAGAAGATAAATAGAGAGGAAAGGAGAGGAAATAGGGGATTTGAAGAGATATGAGGCAGGTAGGGTGAACTTGCCTGGTGATAAAGTTTAGCTTGGAAGTTGGAAAGAGAATTTGGACTGGGTTTAATAGAAATTATAATCTTGTTGGCCCATTTTGGTTTTTATTTTTACATTTTAATTTATTTTTAGCTTTAAACTTATTAAAGTTTAATCCCTAAATTTTGGAATATTTTATTTCTATCTGTTTAATTAAAAATTTTATTCATGATTATTTATTAAATTAAATAAACGAATATAAATAAATAAAAATAAAAGTTATCCATGCATTGTTCATTAAACCATTATATTCATTTATATTATATCTTCATACAAATTGAAAATGAACAAATTTTAATATATTTACAATTTATTCGTTTAATTAACAAACCATAAAATATTGTAATATTATTTATGATTATTTATTAAATTTAATAAATAAATAAAAATAAAATTTGTTAACAAATTGTTCTTCACAATCTCGTAGATATTTTTATAGGATATTAGAATGATGTTCAAACTTCGTTCAGAGATTATCATTAACATTTGATTAAATTAATTTATAAAAATATGAGAATATTTAAAATGATAATAAAATAAAGTATTGAACAATTAAAATGATATGAAATAATTCTATTTTCACATAATGAAATAACCTTTGTTTTAATCAAAGTTTGTGTCCTATTTAATGTTTTATCTATATACAACCATAAACCAATCCAAATTCACATACAGGAAAAAAAATTATAATCAAACAACTACAATGCAACTAATAATGCAAATAGAGGAGGAACATCGAGTTTTATTATAAACATTTCATGCATTAGGTTGCTACAAAATTTACACTTATGCAAATTTGATAAACATTAACTTCTGTCATTATCCATGTCAAGGATAACAAGGCTGTTCATGTTTCTTGTACTAAAGTGTGTTGTAGATGGAGATACCTATTAATATCACAATAGCACTTACAAATTATACGAGTCCCAAAGAATCATAAGTTTGTTTTGAATAAGTTAAAGGGAGAAAGAAATCATAAGACTTAGTCAATGATCAAAATTTTTTTTTAAAATAATTCTAGCTACAACCACAATCATGCTCAACACAATAGGCAAGTATATATATATATATGGGGAAGACAAATTTTCATCAATAAAGGTAATTAAAATGCAAAAAACATATAACAATATGCTAACCAAAAAAAACATGCACCATAATTTTACCTAGATCATCTGAATTTTACATGTCATTTCTCTATTTAGTCATTGATGAATCAACTACAGATACATTTTCTCTCGTAATATCAAAAGACAGGTCTTTTTTTATCTTCTATCAGAATGCAGATATAGGCAGAAGATTTAAACTAGACTCTACAGCAATACAATGTAACTATAGTTGAAAAAAAGAAAAATACAATAAAATATTTAGCAACCTCATTCAAAATGGACATACCTCAAGTATCAGAAATCTTATAATAAAACCAAATATAATTTAGAAGCATTTTTCTAATTTCAAAAAACAGTGACATTAGTAAATTATAAAGTTGTGCTGAACCAGATAACAGCACAATTAAAATATCATTATCATGTAGAAAAGCAATTGACTAACAAAAAATATGATATTATATGTTAGGGTTACACTAATAAGTAAATATATTTACTTATATTCATTCTATTTATTGAGTTTTCACATGAATGCATTTGAAAACATCTTTGATTTTCAACTATAACTATAGAACACTTTAAAAGCAAGACAGAACAGTTATAGAATAATCACATTCTAAATAACTACTTTTAGCTAACAAAATCTAATAGAAGAATCAACTTCAAGATTCATATAATCTTTATAATACTTGGATTAGGAGCTATCATATCATTTTTTAGTATTTGGAGCATCCCTACCATATATGAAAGGATACTCTACAACAACAATAACATACTAGGCCTTATATCCCATTCTTTATGGTCGACTGTATAAAAGACCAAATAAATGAATTATGTTAGGTTGTAGTTTGAATTTTCTTGTGTCACTCGATTCTATCAACAACAACATCTTCATCTAATTCCATAATCATCATATTATTTTTTATTACTTGTTTCTATATCTTTTGTGGTTTACCTTTAAAGGTTTTGATCTTTCATAGATCTAGAGACTCAATTTTTCTAATTGGTGCATAGCTAAGCTTATGTTTCATATGTCCAAACCATCGCAAATAACCTTCTTTCATCTTTTTTTGAATTCGAACTACTCATAGTTTTTCTCAAATCTCTTTATTTTTTATTTTGGCCCTTTTAGTCTTATCACACATCTATCTAAGTATCCTTATCTCCACTACATTGATTTTCTTCTCATGTTGTTTCTTAACAACCCAACACTCAATTCCACATAGCAATGCATGTTTTATAGTTATTTTATACAACTTTACTTTTAACTTTAAAGATATTTTTTGATCACATAACACACCCAACACATTTCATCATCTCATCCATCTTGCTTGAATCCTATGCTTGATATCCATTTCTATCTTAACATCACTCTAAATAATTGATCCTAAATATTGAAACTAGTTACTTTTCAATACTACTTCACCATCCAACTTAATCACACTATTACTCAATTCTCTATGATTATTAAACTTGCATTTCATATATGCAGTTTTAGATTTACTCAATTTAAAACCTCAAAACTCCAATGTACTCCTCTATAATTCTAATTTTGCATTAAGTTCATCACTAGTTTCAGCAACTAAAAATATATTGTCGGTAAATAATATACATTATGGTACCTTATCTTGGATACGTTCAGTAAGTTCGTCCGTAACTAATGCAAAAGGGAATTGACTTAGTGCTGAGCCTTAATGTAATTTTGAGGTAATTGAGAAAGTATTTGTCATGCCTCCAACCATCTTCACATTCGTTACCACTCCTTCATATATATCTTTAACTATGTTGATATATTTTAAACAGACTCATTATGCTTCACTCTGAATGAACATAAATCTCCCCTCTTATGCTTTAATCTATGAAATAAAAAATTATTAGAAGAAATAATCTTTAAACTTACTATTTAAAATTTAGCATAACTATTTCTGATGGAATGGAACACCATGTGTTTCATGTCAATTATTCAATTTAATGAGTATACATTTTATATTTCTGACCTAGTAGGATTTCATAATAACAGGACTGTCAGATATTCAGATCTCATCATATCTTAATATATCAGTAACAACTTACTTGTTAGCTATGTTAAAAATTGTAATAAATTAATACAATTCCAAATCAAACCTCATATTTCAAGTTTTTTCCCTTATCAATTTGTATTATAATAACAAACTTAAAGATTTTGATTTCCATGCCTTATATGCATCTAATAGAGACCTACAACATTAAATCAATCCAACAAAATATTAACAGATACAATTCCAAACAATTAATAGCATAAAATAGAATAGACAATGGTAAAACATTAAAAATGAAGAATAACATACTTCAAGGTGGGATTGGACTTTGACTTACAACTTGTAATCCATCTTCACGCAAAAAAAGAACAATATGTTCTCCATAGCCATTAATATAAAAAGCATCACAAAATCAAATGTCTAATTTTTAATTCCTCAATGTCTATATAACATAAGAACAATTGAAATTTATGCAAAAATAAAAAAACAAAAAAACATAACATTAGCAAGTATGATTAACACACCTAAAAATTGTAATAAATTAATACAATTTCAAATCAAGATCTCATTTTTCAAATTTATTCCCTTACTAAACTTGTCTATCAATTCATATTATATTAACAAATGTAAAGATTTTGATTTTCATGCCTTATATGTTGCATCTAATAGAGATCGACAACATCAAATCAATTCAACAAAATATTAATCGATATAATTCCAAATAATCAATAGCATATAATAAAATAAAAAAAGAAGAAAATTTGATTCTTGTTTTTGTTCAAGTGCATAAATTGCATCAAAAATCAATATTAATGCTTAATAAAAAATCCAAAAAACAAGGGAAAGAAACAAAAGGTCTGAAACGATAATGATGCATAAACAATGACATAATATGCCTTAAAGATATGTCCAATCACATATTTAAGCAAGATACGATTTCATTTCTGTCTTGATCTCGTTAGACATCCAAACAACACAATTTTACAAATTTAATAATTTGGACAACTTTATCGTTGTTGTGTATAAAATGTTATGAATTTTAATAATCTTTAAAATATGCCTCAAAAATCAAGAAAAAAAACAAAATCCAAAAATTTAAAAACCAAAGAAACTTATCATAAATCAATAAAAAAAAACCATCATTAGATCTTTTAAGTTTTGGTGACATGCAAAAATAAAGGCATAATTTTTTTATGAATCCAAGCTGAAGCATTTTACATTTCAATCAATCACCCACCGTACCGATGTCAGAACAAACAAAACCTAAAAATTTAAAAACAAAAAAAAAACTTACCAAAAACCAGTTAAAAAAACCACCATTAAATTTTTTGAGTTTCCGTGACATGCAAAAATAAAAGCATATTTTTTTATGAATCCAAATTGAAATATTTCACTTTCCAATAAATCACCCATCGTACCGATGCCGATGGATCTACTCGAACAAAGGGCCAAGCTTTTCGAAATCTGACTGACTGATGGGTCGATCCAGAAGAAAGTCGATTTTGAACATCCACGGCTGATTCCCTCTTCCTTCTTTTTTATTTTTTTTTATTTTTTTTTTTCATTCATGTCAATCTTCAAAGACTTATTTCTTCAAAAACTTCAGCCCTTTTTCATTTGTGAAAGTTTCTTTGAGCAGCTTCTAAAAACTTATGAAATTTTCAACGCAATTGAAGAGTGTTTTTATCAAAATTAACCATCCAATTCCTATTTAATACATTGTTGAGCTGTCCCCATAAAATTTTTGAGGACAGCTTTTATATTATGTAATAGATATTAAAAATTAATATAATAAAAAACACTTCCATTTTTTTTATCTTTATTTATAGAATTTAAAAACTCTTTTAACTTTATAACGCATACTCCGAAGAAAAGGGAGAGGAGAAAGCATGGAAAATCAATCTCTATCCTATCAATTCA